AGACAGTGGGGACAATTATCTGGCCCAAATGATCCAGTGTCTCTTCACTTTCATATGTTTAATATAAGTATCCTCAGGCTATTTCCCTGAGGCAAGGAAACACCATTATTCCCATTTCGAGTGAAAGAAGAGGAGGGTTAAGTGACTTGCCTAAAATGATAGAGTGTGATGGAAACAGATACTGAATCTTTGGCCAACACCAAGCCATCTTTCTCAGCTTTTAGAGGCAACAGCTATATCCAGTCCCCTTTATTTATTTCTCTAGAAGCTATCATGCCAAAACCTCTGCTAAATTAGAGAGTGATACTGAAGAAAAGCTTTCAGTGGATTGCTTTTCTCCATAAATGGAAATATCACAAATCATTCTGGGAAAACAGGTCTTTCTGTTCTTATCCCTCTTTGTCTGCTTCTCTCCTTTTGGATGTCTTTGCCTCTGCCTCTGGCTCCCAGTTTTCAGATGTATGGTCCTGACCATTTAAAAGTGTTCCTACCCTGCAGGAAGGGAGTAGCTTTTCATTCTTTGGAACTTACTATTTTGCAATGGATTGCACTCTGCAGGCAAGCGAGACTTCTGAAAGAGACAGGACTGCACAAAGTGGCACAAAAATAAACCACATCACCAACAATACTGAGCCAGGTTCTCATCAGGGGTAACTTGGTCTGAGTCTCTCTGCAGCAGAATTGATGGCTGCCAACTGTCCTGGATAGGCAGCATGTACCCAAATAATGACCTGGCCACACTGGAAGAGGTCTCTCTAAAGGATGAAGGCGCAGTTGACATTTTATTTCATGCATCTTAGACATTCAGTCCATCTTGACAGTATGGTAGGTTGTCTCTGCTCTTAATGACCTGTTCTAGTCCAGGCGCTGGGGAGGTGCCTGTTGCACCAGTCCTAGCTCATCCAGACTGTGTTTTCCAAGTTTGGGAAGGCAACAAGCAAACGGTGGTGATCTTGTCTAAAGACTCCCAGTAATCTCCAGGGGATATGGGGATTGCTTACAGGGGATTTTCCATGGACCTGGGTATCCCTTCTGTCCTGAAACAAGACAGTACTCCTCCCCACCTCCTTTGCAGCCTGCACACCCCAAACCAGGGTGTGGACAACCCTGTTCGGAGTTTTTCCACACTGATACATGAAGGAGAGGGAAGTGACAGTGATGAATGAGAGAGACTGAGAAACAGGAGGAAGATCTTGTGGGTGAGCATGAGAAAAGATGAGGGGAGGGCCTGAACAGCAGTGGGAGAGCTACAGGGAGGAGGTGGAAGCATGTGGCTTAAGTTTCTCAGAGAGGAGCACGGGAGAAGCTAGAGAGCTCAACACATGCCTGTTTCAAGGTTCACAGCATGAAATAGCTTGAGTCGGGAAGAATGGGGAGGGCAAAGTACAGAGGAGATGTTGCTCTTACTCCCTTGGGGGGCTCTCAGAGCCCTACATGCCCTCCCAAATAATGATTTGCTCTTGCTTAGGCGTTCAGGAGTAATAACTGTAGGGTGGCATACAGCTCTTACCCTCCCTCCACAAACCACACGTGCAGCACAGCAAAAGGCTGTTGTGTCAGACCTCAGCAGCACTGCTGAGCTGCTCCATCTCCCCTCCCTGCTTCTACCAGCACAGGTGCCAGGGAGGCTGCTGCACCATCTCAGCAGGCCACAGATGTCCGTCAGAGAATTGCCGAGTGACCTTGGCGCAAGAAGTGACATCGAGGCCTTCCCCACACAGAGCGGGTTTCTGAACCGCTGCCATCCGTCACTCACCTACTCTGTGCACTCGCACAGCCGCCGGCACCAGCGCACCCACACCATGCCCTCTTTAACGCGTCCCCGTACAAGGCAGAGGAGTGCTGTCACCCCCATTTTACAGGGTGGGACTCTGAGGCAGAGAGAAGTGGTTTTAACAGCATGCCTGTGGCAGAGCAAAAACTGAATCTTGTTCTCTTATATTCCCAGTTAGCGCATTAATGACCTAAATTCTGCATCCGTTCCCCATCCATCGCCCAGAGGAGCTAGGAGGCATTGGAGGAGAGGGTGTGGTAACAGGCAAATAGCATCCAGAGCCACGGCTCTCTGTGCTGAGCACAGACAAAGCAGGGGCTAAACTGGGACCAACAGTGCCTTCATGAACCCCAGCAGGGTTGAGCCAGGGAGAGGGATCAACCTGGCACAGCATATCAGCCTGTGGAGAAGGGCAGCTCCACAATGTCATAGCATTTTAAACAAGCCAAGGCTGAACACCCCAGTGTCCAAGCACCTTGCTGAGCCAGGTCAGCAAAGCCTTTGAGACACTCAGCACCGGGAGCAGATTTTTGAGGAGCCTGCATGTCCCCTCACCCTGCCTAGGCAGCTGAACCTCTAACTAATTATCCCACGCAAGTCCATATAAAAGACAACCTGCACAAGATGCAGCATCTTCTCCAAGCATCTTGATTCTTTACATAGGAATTAATCAGGCTCAAATTCAGCATGAAACAGAGCAGGGAAGAGGGAGAAAAAAGGAAGCAGGGAAAGGATGGCACACAGTGAGGGGGTTTCCAAATTCACTGCCTCTTCCCTCCCTGGCTAATTCCAATCAAGAGGCTCCAGCCGCGTGCTCGGAGCATCACCTGGGAGATGCATGCAGGCTCTGCCTGCTCTCCCAGCATGTATGGGCAGGAGGAACTCAGTGTTTGGGATCTGGTGGGCAAGGAGCTGAAATCTGAGGCTGGAGACCTCCCCAGTGCCCCAAAGAGTGCTAGTGTTCACGTGCACTGTACAGCAGTGACCACAGCCAAAGGACCAGAATGACGAACTGCTCATCTGCCACAGGCAGATGACCCCAGGCAGTCAGGGGCAAGCTAGGGAAAGGACCCCCTTCATGCTATATCTGCCTGCCTCACAGGTATTTTAGTGGGCAAGTAGCAGGGTGGGAGTGTGCCAAGGGAATTTGCTTGGCTATGAAACTTTCCTTCCAGAAGAGCCATGGTTGAGAAGCAGACACTTCTTGAATGAGATAACTGGATTGAGGATGAGTGATTAATAGCCTTATTTCATAACTCACAGATTCAATGTCGGAATAGCACGTCAGAGGTACACAGAGAGGCGCTGTTCCTACTTTCTTCTCCTACTGCTTGCCTCTTAATGCACACACACACTCCTCTCTGCTGTCTCTAGCCTCTTCACAGAAGCTCTTTGAATTAGTAGTTAAAGGTGATAGGTACCTTGGAGGCATCAGACACAAGCCAACTGCATGCAGAAAAAATCAAACCCGAAGGCAGACCTAGAGGAACCCGCCTATCTGCCTGCTGCAACTATTTGCTCAGCACTGCTTCCCAAAGCATCCCAAACATTGATCCAGCCAGGCTTGGCCTCAAAAAGAAACTCAGGGGAAATCCTTTGAGCTTGGTCCTTCTTCCAGCCATTCACGAATAGCTGAAAGACCATCCAAATTCATCTGGAATAAAACTTCCAAGGTATGATCTGGGGACCTGGCATAGTGCTGGCAGGTCTCAGCCTGGGTAGGGTTGGCATGGAAGAGCTCTGGGTTGCTCACCAGCAACCCTTCCCAGAGGCAACAATCACAAATGTGGTGGCTTCACTCTCCCCTCACCCTGCACACACCCAGCTGGTTCAGCAGTCGGGCTCAGGATCAGGGTGGCAGGAGGCTTTCCCAGGTTGCCACAGCATTTGCCATTCTCCAGACTCAGGCTCCAAATGCTTCTGCTGAGGGATCAATCGGCCTGAGCTACTTTGGTGGTTGACCTCTGGTGAGGAGGCCCATGGGATCTGCACATCATGCAGACACCGTATTTCTCCTTTCTGAACAGAATGTGTCTATCAGTTCTGTGTTAATGGCCAGTCAGTGCGAGTGTCCAGAGGGAAATGGAATAGAAGGTAGGAGAAAAAGTTTGGGGGAACCCCAGGAAGTATACTGAAATTGCCTTTCATGTGGTCACTCCCGTACAAGCATGGACAACCTGATCATTTGAGATACTAACCAAGCAGTGGTCACAATGAAAATTACAATGTGGCTTGAGGAGTACCTCTCTGGAGTGGTATACCTGATGTCAAGAGGAGACACGAATGATGACAGTAAGAATCTGGTAGACATCCCAGGTAGCAAAAGACTTGGAAGATGTCACTGGCTTCCTGCTGGAATGGCTTTACTGGCCATGGAGTGTGTGAAAAAGGGTGCCCCATGACTAAAGCTAGCAGAAGGCCCTGTACATACACCAGCCTGATGGAAATGAGTGTGTCCAGTCCAGTTTACCCCACTTCTGGTGGAAGATTTTGCTCCCCCAATGCAAAGGATGTTTTGCTGCTGAGCTGCATATGTACACTCGCACCAAGCTTCTTGTAGCCTTTGTCTGTGACAGGACACAAGAGGAGGCCTGGCAAAGGTACACATACATATGGAGAAAGTAGATTAAGAACTTCTGTTCCCCCACCACACTGGAACAAAGAGATGTACGCTGCCCACGAAGTGAAAAGGCAGCAAAGTCACAACTGAAAGAAACAAACACTTTTGTACCCAAAACAGATCACCCTGATGTACACGGCACTGCTGGAATCTACTGAGGCCACTCCAGGTGAAACAGAAACACCCACAGTTACACCAGTCAATGCTGAGGGAGGGGACCCTGACACTCGTACTTTGCAGTATGACTCAGACTCTGGCTCCTTTTCCTGTCCCACCTCCCTCAGAGGTGGGCAGTGCTCTCCTGCCTATCTGCAGCAGGAGTCACAGAGCTTCTGGTGCTCTCTCCATCAAGTGAGGGGGTGCTGGACTAGGAGGGCATCAGGCTGGATCCAGACAGCAAACCCCATATTCCTGTGTAAATAAGAAGGAGATATATATGTGAGTGTGCAAGGAGAGGACCTGGGCATGTAATGGGTATCCACACACGAGTGGGCATGCTTCCTGGAAGGAAGGCAGGGTGGGCACAAAGGGTGATGGAGAGGGCAGCTGTTCCTGCAAGGCAGGCTTTGGTGTTCTCATTTGTTCTTTTTTTTTCTTGTTCCCTAGGGAATTTTAAAGGTCTGTGTAAGCAAATCGATCACTTCCCTGAGGATGCAGATTATGAAGCCGATACAGCAGAATATTTCCTCCGTAAGTCCGCAGGCTCTTCTTGCCATGGCTCATAGGTGCTAGCGTCGGGTGCCTTTTGTCTTCTAAAGATAGGGTGGTGGAGACACTGGGACCTGTGAGGCTCACCAGGACAGAGGAGGTGACCCCAGAGCCTTTTCACCCACTAAAAATGGCTCCACTCACCTCCCTGGGTCCTGCCCATGAGACAGTGCAAGTTTCAAACTCAGAGTAACAATCCGTGGCTTTTTTTTATTAGCAGCAATTAATTGTGACATAAATTCAAAGTCTGAATTCAAATCCATTGAAAAGCTTCTGAGTGGGCATAAGGTCAGACTGGGCTAGCGGGGCCAATGTGTGTGTGAGTGCGCGAGTCCTCCTAAAGCAGATAAAGTTTATATTTTCTTATCTGATACTCCAGTGGCATCAGACTGAACAAATTGGCTGGGTTGTGTCTGAGGAGCGCCTATTGCTGTCTCCACCTTTCACCAAATACCACTTCCCTATAGAGGCTGCAGATCTGATCTTTGCTGGTTTAAGAGATTTTAGTGATGGGAGCAAGGAGTAGGAATAAGGACAGTCAGAGCCCTTTGAAGAAAAGACCTGGTGCTCACCCAGAGCCCTTGAGAGAGGTGCTATATGCCAGGCATATGGCATGTCTGTAAGGAAATGTTGCCTGAGCTCCAAGTCCAGCCTATGAGTGAGGGAATCTCACACTGCTTTGCACAGCGGCATCCTGACTAGCAGAGCAGATCCACATCATATATTGCCCTCCCTGGTTGCCCTCCCCAGCCAGCATTTCGACCCACCCCAGAGGCAGGAGCTTACTCTTCCTTTAGCACAGCTGAACAGGGAACACTCCTCCTCCCACCTTGCTATCCTGCCCTCTCTCCACAAGCCCAGCATCTTTTGACATCATGAGAACTTCTTTCTTCAGAAATCTGAGATAAGTGTTTTTGACCTCTCAAGGTTAAGCATCAAAGGCTTCCAAAGACCGGGAGTCTTTCAGAATAGCTCCTTGTCATCTGGGCGTGCTCCAAGCCAGATGTGGAGACCCAGCCCTGCGGCAGGGAGGAGAGAGATAATTTAGGATCTGTGAGGCTCATTTGTATGTGAAAAGAGGCAGATCTTATGCTGCTTCCTCTTGGTTTCTCAAACAGTTCTCCATCCACTGTAAACTGTAAATAACACAGGGAGATTGCTTCTTTCGGCTGCCTTTCTGCAGCACTGGTCTCTTAATTGCTGCACGGCCCCTGAACGGCAGAGCTGAAGACAGGCGTTTGATCCAGTTTGGCACAGCGACTGTGCAGGCTGCCTCCGAGGGCAAACCAGCCCTTGCAGAGCTGTTTGAGAGCGAGGAAGGTGCTTGCAGCATCAGCTGCACTTCAGAAAAAAAGAGTTGGGGGAAGGGGCCAAACATCTCAAGAAGGATGGGTCTGTTCCCTTGGAGAGAACAAGATCTGAAGACAAAAATTGGCCCAGCATCAGGACCTGACATTGTCCCCAGGGTAGAGCCCTCTTTCAGAAAGAACCAGGTTCAAAGAGGGATTTGGCAAGTCAATAAAGGACTACTTGGGTCATTCCTGAGGGAAGTGGGATTTCTTCTGGCTTAGACCTGCTTGGAGAAGGACCCCACTGAACAGCTTCTTCCCAGAACTTCTGCCAAACCAAAGTCCCTGGGTGCTCTGCATGGGCGATGCCTGGTGGCACAGGCAGGAACAATATCAGACTAGGCAGTTCCCTCATTCAGGGGACGAGGACAATTACGGGGCAGTGTCCATGGCCTGGCTAGAAGGGCTTAGACTTTACTTCTGCCAGCCATCCACATAAAGTGTCTTGGGCTTTTTGAAATCAAATGCCTGTTGTCAGAGAGGAAGCAGAAGCACCTCTGCATTTCTTCGCTAGAAGACACAGATGATATAAGAGACCATACGAACACCATCCCCTTCTCTTTAGGTTGCAGGCTCTGGACCCAGGAAGACTGGAGGAGATTGTGCCCCTCTCTTACTGGGCCCTCTCCTGAGGGGCTGAGTAAGGCTTCTGTTCTCCCCTGTCATATAACACCCGCAGCTCCCCATGTCAGTCGGCAACCTTGTGTTCTCTCAACAAGGGTGAATTTTAGAATTAAGACAGATAAAACTGACGTAGTCAGGACCAGGCTGCAGGACTGAGCAACCAATCCTCTAGAAACCCTCTGAACAGTGGGTGTCTGCTTGATGTTAGCTTCCTGCCATTTAAGCTTCCCATTGTCAAATCCCACCTTGCATTCCAGAAGCTGTTAAAATGGTTATTTCTGCTATCCTGTTCCCTGACATACAGCCAGACAAGAGAGGTTTCTCCCTGCCTTCTGCATTCCCCATGCACAGGGAGTGGGCTAGGCCCCCCTCAAAGAGCCAATTGCTTGTGCCTGGTAGGATCCAGAGCCAACAGGGCCTTTGAAGCATGGTCTCTGTCCCCTTAGGAAAAAGTCCTGCATTTGCTTCAGTAGGGTTCATTCTTGCAGGCAAGGAAGGATTAGCTTTCATCCCCCTTTACAGATCTTTGCTCCACAAGCAGAATTGCACCAGCCCGTCTGATACCTTCCTTTATCAAGCAAGGCTTCATTTCACACTTTAACAGCTTATTTTCTCTTGTGAAGGGAGGAGAGAAGGCCTTCCGAGTTAAAAAAACCCACGAATATTCACAACACAAGCTCCAGCAGACCGTTGGCTCCCCCCGAACTGCCCATGAGCAGTGTGTGCATGCGTGCATGTGTGCGTGGGTGTGTGTACACACAGTCCTGGCCTTTCACTGTGTGAATATGAGTGAGGCCCCCCAGAAGCTGTGGGGTATGTTTTGCATGCACATATGAGAATATACATGCATCTATGCCATTGCCCTCTGCTGGCTGAGCTCTTCCCGTATCGACCGATGGAGAGTGTGCGTGTGTGGGAGCTGGCACATCCAAACCCATCACTGCCCTCTGGAAGGATCCCAGTCATTTAATCACTAGGATAAGCCTCGCGTTTCAGTGCACAGGGCTGGGACTTTCGCTTTTCAGTCCTCTCTGCAGCTGCAGAGCAGTGTACAGCACCAGGAGCTCCTCAGTACTGAAAAAAAACCTCTCCTTGAGATGCTCATGCCCTTTCAGGAGGATTCGAGATTGAGCAGCTCTGCAGGAAGCATTTGGGTTGCTGTTCTTTGAAGAGCAGGCTCGAGCAGCAGCACCCCACAGGAATAGAAGCTGAATGGTGCCTGGGCTTCCCCTCCAGTCCCCTCAAAAGCAGAGGAAAAGAGTGTGAAGGGGAACAGACAGCACAGTTGGGCTCCCTGCTCAGCCACCAGTCTCACAGCCCCCTCTGTCTCCCCGTGCCAGGCCACTGGCTTCACGGCAGCAGCAGTGGCCAGGGCAGGGGAAAGTTGCTGTGGACCACTCTCTTTTTCTGACACACTTTGTTTCTCTCTCCCTCCCTCCATCCCTCAATGCCTTCATCTCTCCTTAAATTACTCCTCTACCGCACATTGCCCTCTGTCTCTCCTCTTCACCCCCACTCACAAAACGTACTTGCTGTTCTTTCTGCCCCTCCCCTCCTCCCTCTCTCCTCTGCAGGGGCTGTTAGAGCCTCTAGTATTTTCCCGATCCTGAGTGTGATTCTGCTTTTCATGGGTGGACTCTGCATTGCAGCCAGCGAGTTCTACAAAACCCGACACAACATCATCCTTAGTGCCGGCATCTTCTTCGTGTCTGCAGGTAAAGGGATGCACAGGCTGAATGCCCCAGAGGTGGGCTCCAGGGAATGGGGGGCTGCCTAGCTGGGGTATCCGCCGGAGTACAGTTGCCTAGGCAGAAGTGTGTGTATTTCCCAGCCCTGATGAGCCTTATTCAGGGTGAAAGCAGCCTCACAAGGATGCCTCTCCACCCACTCTGCTTGCCTAGCAGAGGCAGGCAGCAGTGCCCTGCAGGCAGGGGCTTTCCAACTGCTTGGGAGCTGATGGAGGGTGTGTTTCCCTACATCTGACATCTCTCAGGGACCAGCCAGGAGTGCAGTCCGGGGATGCGGCAGGCACATGAGGAGAGTTTTGCCTGACTTTCCCAAGGAAAGCTTCTCCCTGGGAGGGGATGGGTGACTGGGGCGCCTCCCATCCCTGCCTCTCAGGAGCAGGGATTCAACCTGATTCCTCCACCACTGCCCTGTGTGACCCTCCTGGCATCTCATTCTCTCTCCCTTGCAGGTTTGAGTAATATAATTGGCATCATTGTATACATATCAGCCAACGCTGGAGACCCCTCTAAGAGTGACTCCAAGAAGAACAGCTACTCCTACGGCTGGTCCTTCTATTTTGGGGCCCTGTCCTTCATTATAGCCGAGATGGTGGGAGTGCTGGCTGTCCACATGTTCATAGACCGGCACAAACAGCTGCGCGCCAATGCTCGTGCCACGGACTACCTCCAGTCCTCCGCCATCACCCGCATCCCCAGCTACCGGTACCGCTATCAGAGACGCAGTCGCTCCAGCTCCCGCTCCACCGAGCCTTCACACTCCAGGGATGCCTCTCCCGTCGGGATCAAAGGGTTCAACACCCTCCCATCAACAGAGATCTCGATGTACACCCTCACCAGGGACCCGCTGAAGGCAAGCACCACCCCCACCGCCACCTACAACTCTGACAGGGATAACAGTTTCCTCCAGGTTCACAACTGTATCCAGAAAGAGAACAAGGACTCTATCCACACCAACACAGCCAACCGCCGGACCACCCCGGTATGAAGCCGTCGCCAGGAGCTGAAAATGGGGCAGGAATGGGCAGGAGGAGATGGGGTGGGCTGCAGGGTGGGGAGGGTGGAAAGGGGCAGGGGGCAGCAGGTGGGTGGGAAGGAGGAGGTGGAAGCGCCCCTTGGTGGGGTGGGGACCTTCCCAATGCAAAAAAAAAAAAAAAAAAATCCAGAAAAAAAAACAACAAAAGCAAACAAAAAACTGACAAAAAAAAGAATAAAAAAACAACGAACGAACAAGCAGACAAGCAGACAAACAAGCGAGTGAACAAAAAAACCAGACAAATGAAAAGGAAACATGAGGAAAGAGACAACAGTGAAAAAAATTCTTAAAAAAAAAGCAAAAGAAAAAAGGAAAAAAAAGAAAAACTTTAAAACTGAGAGAAAGAGATTTAAAAAATAGAAATAAATTTAAAAGAAAATGCATGATTTCCCATGTACCATTATTTTAACATTTAATAAAAACAGATTAAAAAAATAAAAGGGAACCAAGAAATAACAAATGACAATAAATCAAGTGGGAGGAAGAGGAGGAGGAGGCAGCTTTTTGAATTTTGGGGGGTTTTATTCTTTAATTTTATCGTTTGTTTCCCACTTACCCTTAACCCATCACAGGCTCCTTGGGGGACAGGGCATAGGGCTCAGCCATCGACAACTTCGGTGTCCTTGGGCCAGTTATGGAGGATCCTGGATGCCAGAATCAACCATGACTCACTCTGCTCCCCCAAGATCCATGGGGATCCAATCCATTCCCCTGGGATCCGTGGGGATCTGCTTGTCCTCCGCAGGTCTGTAGGGGTTTAGAGTGACTCCTGCCCCTAGGGAGTGCAGGAGCTGATGCTGAGTCACCCTTCCACAGTGTCCCCAGGGGGGTCTCCACTTCCCCAGCCCTGGGGACCCCGGGGTCAATGGTGACAGTGCAAAAAGCAAACAGACACAGTAAATAAAGACATACACAGAGACAAAAAAAAAAAAAAAGGACAAAAAAGGTTTCTTAAAAAAAGTGGCAATTTTTTTAATGAAAAAAACAGCTATAAATAAATGTAAATATAATAAGTGGATTTACTTGCAAGAAGAACAGATAGTATTTTTTCTTTTCATTTTTGTTTTCTTCAGCTTTAAACTGTGAAAAAAAAGGAAAAGAGGCAATGGGGAGCTGTGTGGGAGGCACAGGTAGAGGGGGGGGCTGGTGGATGGGAATCAGGGCTCTCATCCCTTCAGGATGTTGATGCTGGGGGGACACACATGGGATGCTGGGGGGGGCACAGCACTCACACACATGTGTGCCCATGCTCACACACTTGTGCCCTGGTGTGCACGTGCTCTCCTGTGAATGCTCCAGAGGCTCCCCAGGGTGGCCATGCACTGCCCAAATCTTTCCAGATCCCCCTTACGTCCCACCAGTGGGGCTGCAGCCATGTGGGGATGTGGTGAGGCCCACCCAGCAGACCCCTGAAATAGCTCCTGTCCTCCCCTGGGCAAAGCCAGCCAACCCTGAGCCAATGTCAGCTGCAGACTGCTTGGCCTTGATTCATGTAGCCTCCCAGTCCCCATCCCAGAGAGTGCCCTGCTCCAGGCCTGAGCCCCCCACGTCCCAGCCTCCATGCCAGGGAGAGGTGTGGAGCCATCGGGTGTTTCCATGCCTGCTGGGTTTTGTCGTTCTCCCCACCCCTCTCCTGATGGTCCATGGCTGCCATGGTCTCCCCCACAGCAGCAAGGCAAACTGGGTCCCCACCATTCTGCCCTGGGATCTTTGGCCTGGCTGCCACCCCCTCTGTCCCTGCCATGATGGGGGAACAGGGCACAGGGGTGCCAGTTTTTAATCCAGCTCCCCCCCCAATAGTCGCTGCTGACAGAGGCAGGAGGGGAGGTGGCAGCAGGGGAGAGCGGGGGGACCCCTGTGACACCCCCTGAGACACTGGCCAGCCCAGAGCAAGGACAGGCCCCCTTTAGGGCTGCTACCCAAAAGTGGCAGTGCTCTGGGGAGGCATAAGCCAAGGGATTGCAGGATGGGTCCACCGAGCCCTTCGGCAACTCAGACCCACTTTTCGACTTTTTTTCCGTCCCCATTCCTGCTGCTCCAGTTTTAGGAGCTGCACAGTCCTCGCTTCAGATCCCAGTGGGGTTTCTGCTTTAAAGCAGCCAGATCTTCTCTGCTTCCCACCGACCTACTGATACTTTAACTCCCCTTCCCTGCTCTGGGCTATGGCAGGGGGCAGCAGCAGGACAGGATCACCCCCAAAAACAGCATCACAGGGCAAGAGCTGGATGGGAGCCCCTTGGCTGGGTGTTCAGACTCGACCCCCCCCACCACTGACATCCCCTCCCATGGCCCTCCAATCCTTTAAAAAAGACTCAGAGGGGACATCCCACCCCCTCCAATGCCCCCCGTGGAATAAGTTAAAGCCAGTTCCCCAGAACCCAATGTAGAGGGAAGGCAGTGTTGGGGTTTCCATCCCCAGTGACCCTCACCCACCCAACACTGAATGGAGCTGGGGAGCATTCACAGGGCTGAGTACGCCCCCAGGGCCAGATGGGAAAGAGAGAGTGAGGGAGTGTGCCGGAAGAGCGTGTGCAGGAGGTAAGAGCTGGAGGGGAATATTTTTCCCCGGGATGTTGCTCATGTCCAGCTCAAACCAGTACAAGAAACCAACCTCCATTTTCTTTATCTCGTGGTTTTTTTCAGACTGTTAAAAAGAAAAAAAATTTTAAAAAGAGAAAATAACAAAAAAAAATCCTGGTACATGAAATAAAGATTTTTTTTTTTATAACTTGGTCCTTGTTTATGTGGATTTATTGGGGCATCTATTGTCTCACTGTGCTAGAAGAGTACTTCAAAACCAAGCAAGAAAATCAACTATTGTGGATAATTTTGTCCTCATTGGCAATTCAGTGGATAGTCTTGCTTCAAGATGGCCTTCAAGATACAAGGAGAACGGACAAAGCAAGAGGAGAGGGCTTTGCCACAACTTTTTTTGAAGTAAGTGTGGGTAAACTCAAGTCACACATGTGGTCTTTCCCTGCTGCCCTCCAAAACATCTGCTCCAGCCCCTGTTTAGCTTCCAGTATCTACCGTCTTGTTCCATTCTTCTCAGGGTGGAGATACCACAAGGGCTGATGCCCCAACTACCACTGGAAGACAGTGGATCTATGGCAGCAAGCCAAGAATTACTGGCAAGCTGAGAATTCACACGGGCTGGAGGGCTCAAAAGGGAAAAAGAAAGTGAACCTAGCATTGTTTTGAGATTTTGTTCAGCCATTCATGGGATTTCTGGTAATGTCCTCAGTAGCTGGGAAGTGGCTGTCTGGTAGAAATGCTCAGCGCAGGAGACCGGAGCAGGGGGATTACTTACAGTTGGAGGTGCAGACCCAGAAATGGGTGAGGTGGCAGCAGCACAGGGAGGTGAGATCCCCACAAAAGGGACTAGGTTCCTGGCATGCCCCCTCACCTCTCGCTCACCATCAGCCCCAGGGATGCCACCAACCAGCTGAGATCCCCTCACCCTGTGCTGGGCTCTCACTTGCATGAGACCCTCCGTGGCCTTCTGAAGCAGACCGGAATCCCCATTAGACTCTGTGACCGCTAACTCAGAGGGGTGACACAGAAGGACAGCCACCTGAGTGACAGAGCTTCTCTGAAGTGTGGCCAGGGTCTGACCCATGGTAGGCAAGTAAGACCACAGGCTGAATGAGCAGGTGTGACCAGGGGAGTTAATTTGTCAGCAGCAGGGGGGCAGCAGGGTGAAGGCACATGTGGCTACAGGTGTCCCATCAGATACTGATGTGTTGCAGTGCAATCACAGCACCACGGTCCTACCCACCACCCAGTGCACCTCACACAGGTTGACACTGGTTCTCAGCATCTGTATCCACTGGCCAGCACGCGTAGGTCCCCACTCTGGCCCTCCCTGGACCTCTCCACGACAACCTCCCCCAGCTCACCGCTCTTCTCTGGGCCCCTGGTAGCACCTAACACTTGCCTTGTACATTTCATGGGCCAGCTGGCAGGACACTTCACTGCCGAGGTAATTGGGGCAACCCAATGACCCACTTCTGCTCCTCCTCCAGGGACCCTTCCCATGAGCAACCTCACCAAGAAGGAGGGCATAAGGAGGGGAGAGGCAGCAAAGCAGGCCAGGCGCCTGTCTGGGGGACATCAGGGAGCTCCCAGCCCTGCTACGTGCACGTCTAGGATGCAGCCGCCCTCCTATCGCATCTAGCTCAGAGACCCCAAAACCTTCTCACCCCCCTCCTCATCCCCTTGCCTGGGTCTGAAACCTCCACCAGTGCTGGGTGCTTCCACTCAGGCATGGGTAGGATGAGCTGGAGGAATCCCCCTGCATCTTCTCCATGCTCCCTGTGATGTTTCCAATCCTTGCCTGCTGCAGAGCCTGGGCCAAGAGGGTGCTCGCTCATCCTCCCTCATGACAGCGGGGCAGTGCAGAGATGTGGTTACATTTCCCACACAGTGTCCTGCCTGGAGTGAAGGGAGTGCATGGCTCAGCCCTCCTGCACCACTCCATGAGGGGTTCCTTCCTCGTACTGTACACATGCTTCTGCCCTTCTCTATCTGGCTTTTGTGGATGAGGCAACAGAGTAGGAGAGGCAGGGAAACAGCACCAGCCTGAAATTAGGTGTGGGGAATGCTCCTCAGACAGGGCCAGCCTCCATGCCATAATAATTAATACTAATATTCAGCACTTACACAGCCCTTTTCATGTTCAAAGCACTTTGCAAACACTAATTAATGTCATATTAAGTGATGTCTTAGAGGGGCAACATTGAAAGCAAACAACTTGTGCGTGGGCAGAAGCCCTCATTCCCCATCTCTCCCAAAGCACATTAACACTTAGGTAGGTGAGAGACCCTAAAATGTTATCCTGCGCTTCCTCTAGGTCTCAGTGCTCCCCACATCACTTGCTTACCTCTCCCAGTGGAAGATGTGCTCTGGCAGGCTCTGACTGTGTGCTCCGGTATGCCAGAGGTGAGCAGGGCACCAGGATCTTCTCCTCCACAGCACTGAGCCACTGAGGTCCTGTGGATGCCAGAGACTCGTGACTGAGAGGTCAGTTAAAATATTTGTGTTGGAAAAGTTCCTACCCCAGTCCCAAGCCCCAGCAGCGGGGGAGGACAAACAGCAGGCCCCTTGCAGGACAGCAGGAGTGGAGGCGGAGCAAGCAAAGTTCTATCTGATGCCTTTCAGCTATGTCCCCATCAGACTCCAGCCTCAGGACCTATTTGGGGCCAATGGTCATTCCCTGCTTTCAGGTACCAGAG